CACACACACACACACACACACACACACACACACACACGAACACACACCCTTCTTTGACTCTGGCGTTCTAGCCCCTTGCTCCCCTCCCCTCCCACCCACACCTGGGAATTTCTGAAAGGATTTACTGCATTTTTTCTTGACACCAGGAAAGCTTTGGAGACTGGAGGAGAGGGCTTGGGGTGGGAGGGTGGATGGTGCTCATATTTTCCTTAGAACCTTCTTTACCACCGGAATTCTCCCTTTGTAGGAGCCCTGGTAGCATAGTGTTTACCAGTTGTGCTGTTAACTGCAAGGTCAGCAGTTCAAAACCACTAGCTGCCCTGTGGGGGAAAGATGAGGCTTTCTAATCCCGTGAAGAATGACAGACTCTGAAAATCACTAGGACAGTTCTACCCTGTCCTCAAGGGTCAATCTGAGTCAGACTCCACGTGATGGCAGCGAGTGTGGTTTGGGCAGATGGTTCATGGAGCTGGTGGGCCCCAAACCCACTGGCATGGAGTGGAGTCCGATGCACAGTGACCTTGCATAGGGCTTCTGAGGCTGGAGTGATGTGCATCTCCCTCCTAAGGAGCGGCTGGTGGGTTTGAAGTGCTGACCTTGCGGTTAGCCGTCACCCAATGAGTCTAGCCCAACGCCAGCTGGCATCTTTGTCTGTGTTGGCCCTGCTGCAGGCTGTGTGGCACATCTCTTCCCTAAATTGAACATCTCACCCCGTGACTCACTGCTTGAAGTCTTACCAGCTTCCAAACTCACTGTCATTGAATCTATTCTAACACACAGTGTCCCTACCGGACCTGGGAGAATGGCGCCCATGGGGTCCTGAACTGTCACTCTTCATGGGTGTACAGAGCCTCATCTTTCCCCCACCGAGCAGCTGGTGGTTTCGAACCACTCATCTTGTGGTCAGCAGCCCAATGTGGGACCGCCATGCTACCAGGGCTCCTCTTTAAGCCCAAAGTCTTGACTCAGTAGCGCATGCGGATCCCACTGCAACCTCTCTGCTCGGCCCTCAGCCACACCTCCATTGCCAGCCACACCCCAAACAGTCCTCATTGGACAACCTGGCCATCTGCACCCTCGGCCCCTCCCAACACTCTTCAACCGGCTCCTCCCTCTGCTCCCCTCCCCCTCTAGTTTATTGTCCTCCTTTATTTCTGTTGTCTTGACAATATTTGTAGCAAGGACACCCCAGGAAATCAATCGCTGCTGCAACCGTTCAGGGTGCGGATGGGCCCCGGTCCCCATTGATGACGTTATTCAAGTCCCGCGACCGTTCCTGCCCCCCTTTCCGAGTCACCCGGGGAACCCAAGCTCACTGCCCCTCAGCTTGTCATCTCCCCCTTACTGTTCCTGTGGTCGCATACAGACCGTTCCCCCAGGGGACGGAGGCTCAAGGCAGCCGCACTCCCCTCCGTAAGTGACGCGATTGTTCGCTTCAAAGAAGACCCAGAGGTTATATCTGATTTTAACTGTGAGGTTTAAAGATGAGCCCCCGATGCAGTTCGTTCCGGTCTGGATTCCACTGAAGTTGTGGTCCACGACTCTCTCTCTTGGTCAGCATGGGTGTGTAGCCTCTCCGGTCAAAGCTTCCAGTCCTGGTCTTGGGCCATCGGAGGCAGTTGTTCACAGAGGCGGCTAGCCACACATCCCACAGTCTCCCTCCCCTTCCTCCTCCTGTTGAGGCCTGGCCTTCCTCAACGGGTTTCAGATCAAAGCCAGATTTCACCTTCAAGAACCTTCCCCAAAGCCTCCAGCAGAGGGCGTGCTGCCACTTCTAGCTTTCTGGTAACTTTGTATCCAGCTGGCTTTCCACATTCTCAGGCTGCCAGCTACAGGTACTTAGGACTGCTTGCTCATTCATTCATTCATTTTAACCATTTTATTGGGGGCTCTTACAGCTCTTACAATCCATCCATCCAT